TTTCTCTTTAATGAGGTCAGTCCGGCCGGTTAGGAAAACTACCATCCTTCAAATTCAAGAGCACTACACCTTTGAAACAAAAAATGCAGAGAGAGAGAGAGGATTTCTCTCTGGGTAAACCTAGAGAACAGAGAGAGAGAGAGATTCGAACCTCCTTGGGGGAATCGATTGATGCGCAGACAAAGAGAGGATTTCTTCCCGTGAGATTCTTCCCGGCCGTGAGGATTTCTTCCCATGAGATGGACTGGAAAATTAGGGCATTTGGGGGAAAATTGGAAATTTGAGGGAACCTAACACTACTGGCCTTCAATTTCAGAATCTAGGAGAGCAAATCCTGAGGAAACTTAGGGAAACTTAGGGAATTTTGGGGAAATACCGGCCGTATGGGAGAATGAGGTTGTTTCCCTCTTGGCCGGCCAAAGGACTCTTCGAGTGAGAATGAATCCGTATGGGCATTTGGGGGTTTCTTTTTTTTTTTCCTTTCCCTAGTTCTCTCGTATCTTGCGCGCATTTCATTTAAAATAAAAATAAAAATAAAAAAACAGGGGGAGGGAGCGAGCGGGAAAATTGGAAAATTTATTTCCAATGCCCGCCCAATGTAATTGTAATCTGTACATTTATATATTTTTAAATATATATAAAACAAATCAGTCAAAATGTTAACAAATTTTAATATATATGTATATATATATATATTATAACTCTTTATAAACGTTATTATAGACTAAAGCAGTAACGTTTTTTGAAAAACGCTATAACTAACCGCTACGAAAAGCCCTTTTTCTTATAGTGAATGATACTTCAAGTCAAATTACAAAGAGATGATGGACCAGAAATTAATCACCACCGAACCTCACTTTCCCGAGAAAAACCAGCAAGAAACACCTTGAGAAAATCAAAGCCTTTTCTCTCTTCCCTTTCTCACTCTAGAATTCCTTTTCTCTCACTAAGGCTCTTCCGTTTACAAGATTATCTCTCTCTCTAGTTTTTGTCGCAACTCTCTTTAACCTTAGAAAAATACAATATATACAACTGTACAACTTGTAAAGAAGTCGTTTGGGATTAGCCAATTAGAAATTGTTTCTTCTACAACTTTCTGATTTAGTGCGTCATTAAAACGCTGCCGTTTTGCTTCATTCCAAACTCACTGTCATTTTTCCTCCAGCTGCCTTCCAGAGTAAAAGAACTCAATATCTTGACTTGAAGAATCGTAGAAGAAAAACAGAAGAGATAAGGTTTGACTCAACATAATCTATGTGGACCAGAATTCTCATTTGGAAGTGAGAGAATTTGAATTTATGACCTTAACGCTGAAATAGAAATATTTAAGCAATCACTGAAATTTCTATACCAGGATATTTTCTGATGTCTAAAATTTAAATACGTTTTTAACAAAATTATGACCACAATGCTCAAAGTAATAAGTATGTAAAAACCTTGTGGAGATCCTTACATTTATTATTAGGGATCCAGAGATTTTTTAATTGTATTTTTGGTCGAAATTGAGTTAATTACGAAACTCGTTGATTAAAATAAATATAGAGTCAACCTAAAAATAAATGTGAAGTTGTTATCATTAATATTATTGATTTTGAGAAGACTGTTAAACTAAGTTTACACCTACGTTATTAATTTTTTGCGTGTAACATTTAAATACTTTAAGGTGGAAAGAAAAAGTCTTCCAATAATAAGGAAAAGAATGGAGAATTTTTACGGTTAGACTTTTATTATTAGTAGGATATGATATTTTGATCGTTAGATTAATTTGGGTCCATGTCAAAAAATTACATTTGTGATGTCTGACATAAAATTACTCTATTCATAGATCGTATTGTTCAAAATTTAATCGAACAACTAAAACAGCTACAATATATAAGTAGCTGACAAAAAAAAAATATATATTACTGACATGTTGTTTTGCCCTATTATTATTATAGTAAGTTTTTTTAGTCGTGTTATTAAAATTTTAACAGTCTAATTTATGAATTACTGCATTTTGTGTCTGCACAGAGCATTATTTTTAGGATTAATTTAATAAATGCCGTATGAATCTTAAATAAGAATCATATTTAGAATATATATATATATATAACTGACAAAACTTGCTATAAATTTTACAGTTTATAACTTAATCTTATTGATAGGTTATTTTTTCGTACTCTACCGTGAAAATCTCATAAAATTAATATAAAAAAAAGCCAATAGTATTTTTGTTTTTTTTACTAATCAAAAGACTATAGAATTTACTCGAGGGGTTACGGAGCCTACTGAAGAATAGGACGAGAGGCAAACGCTGGAAGAAAGTAGAATCTCATCACATTTGACACTTTCTTCCCTCATTGTATTGGTATTGGTATTAGGCTATAAGCTACTTTTTTTTTTCTTTTTGTTTTTTTAATAGACTGAACCTGTAATCTCTCTCCAAGCACCCCGATACTACTAAACAAACTAGTCTTAAGCTAGTAAGGACCGTTTGGATTGGTTTAAAAACAACTGCTTTTAGTTTATTTTGTTTAAAAGTCACTTTTGAATCTGTTTAAATGGCCAAATTTAAAATATTTTTGGCTTTTTAAGCACTTTTGAAACAAGTCATCTCTTTGGTGTTTATGAAAAGCTTTTTTATTTACACTTTTAACATTTTATTTGTAAACAACAAATTAAATATCTTATTAATATCTTTTTATTACGTTATTTTTTATAACAAGAAGTGCTCTTGATTTTTTTTTATACAAACACGTTCAAAATCTCTTCTTAGATATAAAAATACTTTTTTCAGACACTATTTAAATACTAATTAAAAACTCCTAACTTATACTTATCTTCTTCAACTACTTAAAAGCACAAACACAAATTATCTCAAACATGCTCTAAGTATTAGCTTGGGTTTAGTTAAAAAAAATAAAGTTTTGTACCATAGAAAATATTTATCGATAAGCACGCCTCTAAACATTAGATCTAATAATAAGTATATAAAACTAGCAGTTTCTAATATAAATTTATTATATTAATGTTTTTTTTTTATGTCTAACGGTGTGTGTATATATATACAAGGAATGTAAAAAATGAAATATTAGTAATTCTTTATCTTCTAGCCGTTAATTTAATGTGATTTGACCAAATATAACGATCATAAATAAAATCTTACTAGTAGGTCGATACTAGGATTGGCAATATGGGTCATGACACGATAACACGACATGAATTTCACAGGTTATGATTAATAAAAAAGAGGTTCAAGTCAGAATTGGGTCGACTTAAAATTAACACGAAAAACACGGGTTAATTTCGAGTTGGATCCATCTAACCCAAACACGACACGAAACTAGTAAAAAATTAAAAAATATATATATTTTTCATTACATATTTTAAATTATATTATGAACTTGTGATATCATGATAGTTATACTCAAAATCTTATATTATTATTTGTTTAATTTTGATGGATGTTATTGTATTTTAGTGTGTTATGAATTTTAAGTTATTTCTAATATGTAAAAAACTAAAGAAAATTATATAATTTTTGTGTCAATTTCAAGTTCATGTGTCAATTTCGTGTTACAGGTTATTTTCGTATCGTGTCGTGTCAACCTATAAAATGACCTTATCATGTTTGTGTTGTGATTTTTAAAAAATTTTATGTCACGAGTCATATTTAGATTAACTATAAATTAAAAAAAATAATTAAAATACGATATGAATACGATATGTAAGATAAATTATAACCTTTAATCGATACTAATATGTGACACAAATTATCACCTTTAATCGATACTAATAGGCCGACTTATCCGTAAAGATCCCATGTTTTGAAAGTTCAATAGGAATAGCAATTTGAATAATCCCTATGTTTGTGGTTTGGTGAAAGAGACAAGTGAAAGCAAACAAATTGAAGAAGTTGCGATAGAAAGAAAGAGACAAAATGATAGTAGTACTAGTATACATTGTAGAGGAGTTGTCTACTACTGCTACTACTACTACGTCTACGTCCACACCACGCATCGGTATCGCATCCCTCATCTTACCCTTTTCTTGTCTCTTCAACTGATTTCAATCTGGATTTTCTCTCCTCTTTTCCCTTTCCCCAAATAAATCCCATTTCACACCTTTAGTTTCTTCTAATCTTCTTCGTTTATCGCTTCCACAAATGGCAAAACAAATCAAGTAAGATCTCGCTAAAACCCTCTCTCTCTTCTCTCTTCTCCCTGCTCTCTGAGTCACAAGTTCCAAAAACGTTAAGATAAAAAAAAAAAATCCCCTTTTTTTAACTCTCTCTCTCTCTCTCTCTCTCTCTCTCTCTTTATAGATTTTTTAATGCCCTCGATTTAAATTGGTGAGACTTTTTCCTTTGCCATCTTAATTTTGCTAAAATCTGATTTCTTTTTTTTTTTTTTCAAAAAAAATCGGTAGATGGATTTGGTACTTTCAGTCATCGATGAAATGGTATTAATATAATATATAGTTGGCTTTAATGGGGTTTTACCAAGTTTTATTATTTTTCTTTTCTCTTTCC